AATTTCTTAATGCACTTGTTTGTAGAAACTACAAACTACTTTGCCGCAAACCACAAAACACGCAAAACCATCATTTAAATAGGGCGTCTCCAACAGTTTTCCACCAGTTATGCAATCACTCTTGTTAAATCACCCGCAAACCATGGTTCAGCCCCTTGCGCAGAATTCCAGTTTGCGAGCGCAAATTACTGCACGCAAAATTGGATCTTGATAAATCCGGCCCAAAGACTCTAAATCTCCTTTCATATAAAATGAACTTCTTGCTTTATTTTTAGACAAATACAGTAAAATATTCTATTTAACATCTTTAACTATTGAACCTTTAATGTTTACTTTCTGTTCTGTTAAAATTATTCACACCATCAGCAGATTTATAGCAATCATCTGTTTTAACCAATGTTCCTCTGCCAGGATTTAATGTTAATGTTTTAGATTAGGGTGATGGTCAGGAGGCCTTCCAACCTCAAATATTTAAAGGTAAAGAAAATTAATCAAAATACCAGAAGAAACATGGAAAACAATGCTGGGCCAAAGATAAGGAGGGGAACAGGATTTTCCTTTATTATTGAAAAAAGGAATACATATTTTTATATATTTTTTACTAAAATGCACAAAAACTAAATATTTTCTTATTATATTTTCTATCTAGAAAAATATAAGAAAGAAAATCAAAAGTTAAAATGAACCATGTGAACACGATGAGATGGCAGCAAATTTACTGAATTATAAAGAGATTTGATTGGATAGATTAAAATACTTTTATTATTTGGTGAGAAAATTACATTCTGCAGGATTTTAAACAAACCAGACTACATTTAAGCCCAGCTTACCTAAGCTAAAGCTTAAATCTTCCGAAAATACCAACCAAGCTTTAAAACTCAAACCTTCCCTCTCTGTTTCTGGATGAAGCATTTCTCAGCCCTTTGCCCTCCTCACCTCTTCAGAGTTTCTGGCAGCAGCGTTTTGGCGTAATTCAGCCCAGACTGGATGGAGAGAGGAGCCATCATGAAGTCTGCAGGTCAGAGCTGCTCTTTTTTCCACCTCTCTGACCTGCAGACTTCATGATGGCTCCTCTCTCCATCCAGTCTGGGCTGAAT